GTACGTCAAAGTGTTTGAGTTTCGAAGGAATCGATTGAAAATCTCACTTCTCACAAATCAATGATACCTTATCAATTTTCATTAAGGCTTTTGGTCTCACAGCGTAGAGCCATGAGACGAAGAATCCACGATGACGTTGACAGATTTCTCTCAGTTTAAGTAGTTGAGACTTCTTCGATGAGAAGCGGTAGAAACTCGGCCGTTCCGAGGCTGTACTCGCGATGACCTATCACGCGCAGAAGCGCAGCTCCAAACACGCTGTGGGAGACAACACCCACACTTTGAGCCGATATGTTGTAGAAGATAAAATCCAAAAACTTGGCTGCACGAGTCTCGATCTCCGTGTCGGTCTCACGATGATCAGGAGTCCACCACAGATCTGCATCAGACTCGAATCCAATGAAATCCAACTGCGGGTATTGCAGTCTCTTTTCAGAAATACTGCGGCGCTCGTCACACGTATCAACGCCTAATATCTCTCGCGCCAGTTCTAATGGTGTGCTACTGATGCTGGATGTATGGTTTTGGTACGCGATGGTAAAGGTTCTCAACGCACGTTCAAGGGGAGAAACAAGCACATGCTCGATATGTAAACCATTCTCAATCTCAGTGTTCAGCATTATCGACGCCTTCTCCGCTTGTTGGATACCCGTAGCGGTCAGAGGAGCGTCCAAATACTCCGGTAGTTTACGGTAATAGGTATTCCACGCGTCGCTACCATACTTCTCAATAGCGACATTGTGTGTGCCTTCTCCATGGCGTAGGAAGATCACAAGCTTCATTTTAGTGCCTCCACGGCGTATCATATCCACCTCAGCTTGTACGTCATGCCACGTCTTCCCATCCAAAAGACCCATGTGAGGCGGATTCGACGCTGGAATAGGCTGGCGAAGATCTCCTTGCATGAAGTATCCAGGGTGGTACCGCAAGCGCGATGACGTAGATTGCTGTCCATAAACCGAAGTCTGCACTACATGTAGAAGCACCGCACAGAAGACGGCCAGAAGCATTGGCGTGAGCTGGTGTTCGCGCTTCAGTCCGAGCCGAGAAAGTTAAAATGAATAAGAAGCGGGAACTACATTGCAGTTTTCCACGTAATTCGTCATAAACGATAGATGGATCGACAAGCGATCAACCAGCGTAACGCCATCCATCAGTCAATTGTTGCAAAATTTCTGCTCGTTCAATCTAGTACACAAGCGTCAGTATTGACGTACGACACAAAAAGTAAACAATATGCATACAACTAAATCGAGGTCGATGCATCTAGCTGCAATTCCTCCTCAGTGGCGTCCGTGATCAACAACGGGATGAATTCTGCATTCCTCGGTCGGTAGTAGCGATGACCCACAGCTGCGAAGCATCCACGACTAAAGCCGCTGTGCGAGACGACGAGCACACACCTCTCACTTTTTTTGTAGAACACTTCGTCCAGGAACTCTGCGGCTCGATTGGCAATCTCCTCGCGGGTTTCCCGGTGATCAGGTTGCCACCACGTGTCGTTCTCACTGGCCACGTGATTGAAGTCCAATTGCGGATACGCGGCCTGCTTTGGAGTCATGAGCTTGCGACGGTCGCAGTTAACGACGCCCAGCGTCTCGCGCGCAAGCTCGACGACGGACACGGGGATGTCACGCAGCCGGGCGAACACCCGGTCATAAGTCTGTAGTGTTCGATCCAATGGGGACACGAAGACTCGCTGCAGCTTGAGGCCACACTTGGCGATCTGCTTTTCCAGCATCAACGCGGCGGCATCTGCCTGCTCTTTGCCGTGATGCGTGAGTGGGGCGTCTATAAACTCGGGTCGCATTTCGTACTCCTCCTCCCATACTTTGTCGCCCACGCGGGCCTTGGTGGCATTGTGTGTGGCTTCTCCGTGACGCAATAGGATCACCAACTTAATGCGGCGTTCTGGATGCTTGAGCTCGAATTGGTCCATAAATTTGTACACGTCCGGCCAGGCTTTGCCGTCGACCAGCCCCATACGCATGGGAGGATCCCCCATCTCATCCACAGGTTCGTCCGAGATCCCCATAAGGAAAAACCCGGGCATGCACCGAAGGTGCTTGGAGACTGCGGAAGGTGATGTAGACATTTTGGTGCTTGATGATATGGGGAAGAAACGGACAGTGGTGTTTTTTGGGGGGATGGATGAGTCGCATGTAAGCGGAGAAAAACAGTACGAAATTTGGGTAGCCATATTGCAGGTAACAATAATATTGACAATAATTTTGCAGACAAATTGTTGACAATATTATTGTATTGTGATTGCAGTACAAAAACAATATTAGTGTAGCACAAACTAGAAGATTGAGATAGGAAATATCAAACACGCTACGGAACCGACGCTGTTATGATGGCGTATCGG